GCTCAACTGGCACACAATGCAAAGTTGTGCAAAGGCCCTCCTAGCCACGACTGCCACCTGCTTTTTGAGCAGGAGTTGTGAATCTAGGAGGACTCCCAGATTGCGCAAGGGGTCTGTTTGGGGGCATGCAACCCCATCCAGCACCAGAGATGGCATAGTCTTAAAACTGGCAGGTCACAAAACCCAAAGCCACTCAATCTTGCCAGGGTTCAGTTGAAGCCTGTTGTTCCCTATCCAGACTCTCAGCCTCCAGACACCGGGATAAGATGTCTACAGCAATGCTTAATTCACCAGGGGCAGAGATGTATACCTCACCCCATGGTGATGAATGAGCTCATCTAGTGGTCTTATGTAGATGTTGAGTAAGAGAGAAGAGAGCACTAAGCCCTGTGGCACCCCACACAGTAGGGGCTGAGGGTGGGATCTCTCCTCCCCAATCACCACCACCTGGAATTGACCCTGGATAAAGTCGCAAACCAGCACAACACCATATCACCCACCTCCAATCCTCTGAGTTGATCCAGAAGGATACCATGGTTGATGGTATCAAAAGCCGCCAAGAGGTCAAGTAAGGCAAGGATGGACACACAACTCCCATCCCACCCATGGCAGAGATCATCCAAAAGCACAACCAATGCTATTTACATCCCATACCCTGGTCTGAATCCTCACTAAAAAGGATCTAGATTATCCCCTTCATCAAGGTCCTCTGAAGCTGTTGCACAACCACCTTCTCAATCACCTTCCCCCAAAAGGGAAGGTTAGATACTGGACAAAAATTGTTCAGTATAATGGGGTCTCGCGATGGCTTCTTGAGGAGGGGGCAAACCAAGGCCTCCTTAAGAGGTAAAGGAACAACCCTCTCACTCAAGGAAGAATTAACCACCTTTAGAATCCACTTCCATGACACACACACCCCAGCTCGCTTTAACAAGCCAGGAGGGGCATGGATCTAGAGCAGGGAGCTGAGCTCACAGTCCTAAGGACCCTGTCCACTTCACCAGGCCCAACAGGTTCAAACCATTCCCAGATAATTGGGCAAGACTTCTCCCCAGGCGTCTCCCCCAGACCTGCAACAAGACTAGCATCCAACTGTGAATGAATTTGAGTGACTTTGTCTGATAGATGCTGAGCAAATTCTTCTGCATGCTCCTCTCTCAGCCCCCTCTACCCAAGAGGACATGTGTCACCCAAAACAGGGCTGCAGGAAGGCTATCCACAGACGCAAAAAGGGCAGAGAAGTACTGGTGCTTCGCCGCCCTTATTGCCACGAGGTAGGCCTCAATCGTGGCTCTAACCCATGTCTGGTCAAGTTCGTCCCCTGTAGAACATCAGCAATACTCTAGACATCTCTTCTCTCATTTCAACTCCCTTAACTCCTCCATGAACCATGGGGAGTGACAGGATCCACAACAGGGGAGAGATTGCATAGGCATGATCCGATCCAAAACCTCCATCGCCCTCTTATTAACAAGCAGCAACCAAGATTTCAGATGGACTGTGCAGCAGACCAGCAGGAACAACTCCCAGCTCCCTCTGTAATCCATCTGAGTTCATCAGTCACCAGGGTGGACTGATCTAATGGGTCCGGCCTCCCTGTAGTGGATAGCGGTACCAGAAAATCCCATGGTAACCAGGATATGATCTGACCATGACAAGGGGGACACCAAAAGTTCCCCCAATTTCAGATCTCATAGCCACTGCTCTGACAGGAACACCAGATCTGGTGTGTGACTAGTTCCGTGTTGGGCTCTGGATGGATAGGCCCATGGCCATCATGGTGGCCATGAACTCCTGAGCCACCTCAGACCATATCGCCAGAGAAGTCAGATTGAAGTCCCCCAAGATCATAGGTCTGGGGAACTCCAACCCAGAGATGGAGTCAATTTGCCCAGGCAGGGAGGTTGCTGTGCAGCAGGGAGGTTGGTACAGCAGCAACAATCCCAACTGATCCCTAGAGCCCACCTTAATGAACAGGGTCTCACATTTGTTGACCTGGGGTGCAGCACCCCTGAAAGCCGTAAGCGATTCTTGGAAGCCAGTTGCCATACCTCTACCCCTGCCCCAGGGTCTCAGCTGGTACCACACCCAAAACCCAGCTGGGCATATCTCCAAAAGGGCCACCCTCCCTCCCGGGCCCAGCCAAGTCTCGGTAATACGTGCCAAGTCAGCCCTCTCATCAACGATCAGATCGTCGATGAGGGAGGCTTTATTACAGACTCAGCTGTCACTTAGAAGCAGCAGCTGAAAGCCAGGGCCTCTGACATGCAACTAACATCAGCCTATGGATTCAAATGTTCATATAATATCTATATTGACTTAACTACTATTCACACTTTCTGACATACATTTTATCCCTTTCATTCATACTTAAACCTACACTTTCACTTCTCTGCACATATTTATCAGTCCACTCCAGGTTACCTTCATTCAGATCTATTACATCCATTCCCTTTCTCCTAGTTTCTCACACATGTCTGTTTTTCATTTTTTTTTATTGCAAGATTACTTCATGCTCTTTTGACTCCTCTCGCATCCCAAACATCTCTTATATGTCATGGCCATTACCACATGGGCCCGTAGAGATTGGTTTCTCTGCTTGTGTTAATCATCATCAACTTTTGGTTAAAGAAGAGTTTATGTTGCCAGGTTTAGTTGTCCCCATGACACATGCAACATTCCTTGCTTATGGTAAGAATAGTACTGGTTTGTTTTGGCACATTTAGGCCAATATGCTACAAGCACCACCAAATATCAGTTTTTCCCCAAGCATGCACACACTGTTCTGTGCTAGCTACATCTCTAATTTAGTTCTAATCATTGAAAGTCAATTTATTGTGGCCTGCATCCCATCAAATAGGAGTACATGTAGTCTACTGACACCTAATCAGGATATGTCCATATAAGAAATCCTCTTTAAGATGAGGTAAACAGAATGGTTGATTATTAAAAAACTGTTTGGGATTGCTGGCATTCTTTATGGGGTTCATGTTCCTTGGAAGTATGAAGCCATATTGGGCAGTGATTCCTCTTCATATGTTTTAGGAAGCCATAAGAGAAAATCTGCAAAGGCTTCCAGCCCACCTTCCTGTGGGATGAAGAAGTCAAGCTGTAGGCTATTACACTAATAGTGCTAAACCAATCTGCCAATAGGAGTGGTTCTAACAGCTAATTGCTGGAGAGTTGAAAAAGGAACTCTGGTTTCTGTTTGAAAATGAGAATTATTCCACTAATATAGACTATCAGATGAAAGTCGCTTTTGGTCACATTCCACACTGGACTCATTATGAACCTGCAGTCTAGAAGTGAAAGAGTTAAGAATCCCATTGAGTAATCCGCCTGAAATTTAAAGTCAGCATATCTAAAAGTAATTTTGGCTAATATTCCGCTTTGGACATTTTTCCTCCTTCCTGTAAGTTATATTGCAGATCAAAGCATATCTTTAGTCAGGGTGTGAAATATGGAGGTAAAAATATGATTGACTTACATTACATGTTGTTACAATTCTGTAAATACAGTATACGTATAAAGAGATTGAGACTAAAATATATAGATACCCATGAATTGGGTTGGAAGAGGTCCCCACCCTCCTCTTCCAACTCAGCAAAGTTTCAGGTTCCTTCCTTTCTCTCTGATCATGAATTTAATCTGAATAGAATAAGATGAGCATCAGATTTGGATGAATGACAAGAGAAATAACAGGGCAAGGGAGCAGAAAAGTAGGAAATCACATTAATCACTTTGCTCCAAACTTTTCTGTGTATTTCTCTGCTCCTCCCTCTTCCCCCCACTATGCTTTTAAGCAAAATTGAGCAATGCCAAACAAGCTCAATTAGGAATGTGGCAAGTAACGTTAGAAAAGGGAAGTTTTTCTTGTGGCTCTTTGTAATTTGCAAATTTTGATTGATTCTGGTCAATTCACAGATAGTTCAATTTCATTCTGCCCAGTGGGGGAAAAATATGCAACATCTTTAATGTTAATGATGACAATAACGACGATGATGACATAGGTTGCTGCTCTTTCATTTCTCTTATTCATGACAAATATTTTTAGTTTCCTTATTTTTCTTCACCATTTGGAAATATGTTCTTAAAAAACTAACATGAAGGTCCTACCCATTGACGTTGGAATCAGCTGTTTTAAGCATATCAAAACCTTTGGGTTAGAGAGGTCCATATTGGTCACTGTGTTAAGAATGGGCTGGTGCAGGGCAAGCTGTTGAATGATTTTGGTCTTTCTGAAATAAATTGACAACACCATCATAGTCATGTTGACCAAGACACGGCATTCACAGTGTGCTTTCCCAAATTATCAATTTAGCCTTCAATTGTAAGGCAAAATTACTGAAAGTTAGCACCATTAAATACAGTGGGATTTATTGAAGACCAAGAGATTTATGTCCCCATTTGCACCAACCCATGGCACAAACACGCCCTGGCAACATAATTTTTTCTGCGGTGTCCCCATGATGTTTTCTTCATTTCATCCCCAGCTCATGAGGGAGACAGGCATAAATTATCCTTAGCTGTCCTGTTGATAAAGTAATATTTCTGTCTTATCCTGATGTTGTCCAAGGGCAGCCTCAAGGCATATAACATCTGTGTGGCTTCCCATGACCTTGGAGGGTATTTAGGGAACTACAAGGACAATAGAGGCAGAAAGGGACCAGCAATGGGAGAGAACAGATCTTAAGCTGGTATAATTTTCTGCTAACTTAAGGAGGGTGGAAATCACATCAATTGATCCATAAGTACAGCCTTTACTTAAGAGTTCACCAAGCCACCACCAAGAAACAACTCTGCTATTACTTTTCTTTATAAGAAGTCCTTCAATTCTGTTTAAGTATCTTGATAGAATTATAGTTATATCAAATGGTTCATGCACCTTTTTTTTGCCCTGTAGAGTGAAAGAAAAAATATTGATTTAATCATAACAGATTTAATTCAGCAATATGGTTCTTATATTATAAAAGTATAATAATGTCTCTCTTTCATTCTAGGCACGCTTTCTCCATTATTTTCTGTTCTCCTCTGGATAGCTGTGGCCATCTGTACGTCTCTTCTTTTCTTTTTCCCGAAACCTGTTGGAATCCGACCATTTCTGGTATCTGTAATGCTCAGATCTATATATACTATTGGTCTTGGGCCTACGCTGATCCTTCTAGGTGCCGCTAATGTAAGTACTTAAAAACGCATTACACAATTCATAGACAAACATAATCAGTTAACTGTTTCTCCACATTTATTTAGCACAGTTGGAAAACTGAAGCAGACACATATGTAACTAATCTGTTTGACTCAAGCCTCATTAATTCCAGTTTAAATCAAGTTAAGGGCAGATATATTTGCATTATGAACACATTCCAAAGTTTACTGTCTCCAGAAATTCCACCTCGTTGTTCTGCCTGCATGAAAAGCAGACTGTACACACTTACAGGTTCTGATGTGGCACCTTTCCACTTATCTGGGATTTATAGTATGGCTGTTATATAATCACTATTTATAGAGGTTCTTAACGGGTAGGATGGTTTCTCGGGATTAGCAATGCTCTATCTCTGTGCCACCTCCCCAGATGAGTCCATTGGAAGCTAGAGAGAAAACATGGAAATACCCCCTCCCCCATAAGGTTGGAGTCTTATGGCCTATGGTTGTTTCTATAAGATTTTGTACAACTCCTGCTAGGTACTGTGCAGGTTGCAATCCAAAAATCTGTCCTTTACCTTTACATAGACTGATAAGGCTCATTTCCCCATTAATAACCTAATAGCATTTTCTAGTCATGCAACCATCGTTGGTCCAAAATCACATCAGTGACCACAAACTTTCTATCACTTCATTGATGTTTGGGTGATACTGTGAAGCTGCTATAAGTCATTAGTGGGGAAATGGCCATAGTGGCAGATGATGAAGGCATGATTTCCCTTCCTCTTTTTTCTTCCTTTTTCTTCCTTTTCTTTATCTGCATTACTTCACTGGAACCCTCTTCAGTCTAATAGGTGGGAGACAAGTAGATGAAAAGATGGAGGAAACTCACTTTAGAGAAGATCTGGTTGTTTTTTCTCCCATCATCCATCCCTTCAAAACGAAAGAAGATTATAACTTGGTAATCTTACCAACCCAGAACTGCTCGTTAAGAGATTCTTTGGGGATTGCTAGTAGTGTTTCAGCTTTTTTTGCCTCTTTTAAGTCATACTTAAGTTATAGATATTCCAAATTCTACTATCAATAAAAAAATCATAAGGTTTATCAGTGTCTGAATTTGAGTTTGATTTGGCTCCATTTGATGGACTTCCCCATCTTTAGAACAAGGCCTAGTAATGATCTTCAACCGATTTAGCTGACAAACTTGAAATAGCCCCTGTTGTCCAGATAGAACTCATTTAAACAGCAATTGTAGAAAAGTTGTTTACCATCTCATTCTCTTTTTCTTTGTGACATAATTCACTGAAAATTGTATCAAATGGCAACATGATTTTCTTCCATTTTTACTTGGCCATTGTTTAGTTCTTGGTCATTGTTTGTATATCAGCCTATTTGGAAAAGGGACCTCTCTTTCTTTCACTGCTACTGCTGTTGTATAGCATGAAAATAATGGAAAGTCTAGCACGCCCAGTTGATCATATTTTAATTTTGCACATTTTGTTGGGACATCAGGGAAATTATGATTCAGGAAATGACTGCCGAGTATTGTAGAGGTTAAGGTGTCATTTAGCCCTGGACAGATCCAGGTTCAGGTTCCACTCTCAGCCGTGGGGACTCATAGGGTGACTTTGGGTCACTCTCCCTCTCTCAGTCCACCTACCTCTCAAGGTGGTTGTTTTTGGGAAATATGGAAGGAGGGAGTGTCACATCCACTGCTCTGAACTCCTGAAGGAAAAGCAGAATATAAATAAATTGTATGTATGTATGTATTTCGTGCTGACATTGCTTGGAACCAGAGACATATCAATGATGCAAATTCACCAAAATGAAACTTATCACAGTTAGAAGCTTACGAGGAAATGTTGACTTTTAGGCTATATTGAGGAATGGGAAAAAAAGGATTAAACATTAAATATCTTTCTTTCAGCCTGCTTATTCCCATCTTGTATTTAAACCTACTGCATATCAAGGAAAATTAAACACATATAGAAAAAATATTCCAGTTTAACATGGTAGTCAATTATAGGCAGTTTGTTGTATTAATTTTGACAATCAAATGACTACTGTTTTTTCTACTCGTGTAATGTATATGATGTGGTAGGGATCATCTAGAAACCTGAGTGCTTTGGCTTTAATAATAAATTTAATAACAGTGGAGGGGGGACTTTCCACGCCAATACTCTGTAGTTGATTTTGTTTAAAATCAAAAATCGCTGAATTGAAATTGGAAGCCAGGTTCCTAACCTTGGAAAGCTAAGCAGGGTTGGCTCCTGCTTAATATGTAGATGGGAAACTACCTAGAAATCCCAAATTATAGGCTAGACTGGGAAAGAAAGCAGAAAAAAATGTCCCAGAAGGAAGCAATGGAAAATCACTTTTGTCTTGTTGCAAAAAAAACTATGTGAGGTCACCAAAAGTTGAGCTCTTCTTCAGGAAGTCTTCACCTTTACCTCCATGGTCCATATCCGGTTGACACATAATGCTATGGACTTGTTCTGATAAAGTAAAACAAATCTAATTTTACTATTTTTGAAATGGGTGACATTAATATTAATGTTACAGAAGTGGTGCAGGGCTTCACTTTGCGATATTGGTTTCAGTAGAAACAGGAACGTTTCTCCCCGTAATAGTAATTCATAGGTAAATGTATTCAGCATAAATAGAATTGTGGGTCTTGAGATGTAATTATTGTCCATGTTGCTTCTCTCCATCCTGCAGCTTTGTAACAAGATTGTATTTTTGGTGAGCTTCGTTGGGAATCGTGGTACGTTCACCCGTGGATATAGAGCAGTCATCATGGATATGGCCTTTCTCTACCATGTGGCCTATGTTCTAGTCTGTATGTTGGGTCTCTGCGTACATGAATTTTTTTACAGCTTCTTGGTGAGTGTATTTTTTATTTCTTAACAAAGAAGAAAAAAATGTTTCAATTCTTGGGCACATCTTGAAAATTCTGTCACGCATATAGTTTTTCAGCATATACTGCCACTGTCTCATGAGAAGCAAGGGTTCATGTTAAATCGCGCTTCCATATCTGAACACCTTCATTAGGGAAAGAGCAGACAGTTTTGGATTTCTGGTAAGGGAATCAAGATAACATATTTGCAAACTTATTCATTGCATTCATCTTGTTACATGTTTAGATGCTCAACATCACAGATATAAATAAAGTGCTCTTTATTGGAAATTTGGGTAAAAATCTTTAGTTGCTTCACTGATTTAAGTAAGTCTTGAACTGAGATAGATGACAGGTAACATTTTAAGAATGTGTATTATGTGGAAGGAAGGGAGGGAGGGAGGGGTTGGTGCTTCCCAGTCTTGATTATTTCCAGATGTGTGACTTCTACTGGGAATTCTGGGAGTTGAAGTCCATGCATATGGAAGTTGCTAAGATTGGAAAGCCCAGGAATAAATGGGTGGGTAGGGTGGGTAGAGGAAGGAAGGAAGGAAGGAAGGAAGGAAGGAAGGAAGGAAGGAAGGAAGGAAGGAAGGAAGGAAGGAAGGGAGGAGGGAGGAGGAGGAGGAGGAGGAGGAGGAGGAGGAGGAGAGAGAGAGAGAGAGAGAGAGAGAGAGAGAGAGAGTA